TTGCTTTGCTGTTCTGGCCGCCGTGGGATTTTTTGTTGTTGTTGCTTGGGGCGGCCCTGTTCAGAGAGAATCATCCTCTGCATACCTGTGAAGAAAAACAAGACAGAATGTTCAGATAGTTTAAGTGTATTTGGGGGACTCATTTGTAACCATTTGTAGTTAAGAGGCCAGATTTGGTCAAATTGGCACAAGAAGATGTACATTAAATCTATCAATTAACTCCAACAGTACCCTTGCATGGAACAGGGCATTCCTCTCTACTGAGAGCAAGGAGTCTGTCAGCAGTGCTCTTCATTGGGGGTCATCAGAGCAGGGCAGCTTTCATTTGTACCAGAGACTCATAGGAGCTTTGGGAGTGGGAGTGCCGGGGGAGGAACTAAATCAGTGAACTCCCTAACTGCCCTGGTAATGCCTCTGTCGTGGTCATCACACCCATTCTGGGGAATATACTGGCCTATGACTCTCTAACCCCTAAGAAGAACTGAGATTGTGATCGCTTTGCACCACTGCAACTCTGACAGTCTGCTGTTGGGGTTTGTGCTAGTCGTGTAAGTCCTGCATAATTGTGGAGTGAGTTGAGCCCAAGGGATTTAATTCTCTACACTGTTGATATTCTTACCTTCTGAGAACTGATCAGTCATAAATCATCAGCTGCTCATGGGAGATGGGGAAAAGTGTAAGATTTCAAGTGCAGTATTTTAAAATATAGTTCTTGCTGAATTATGTCTTTTAATATCAGAGATGTGTCAATTTCAAATATGTATCTGTGTTCAATTTTGTGTTCAATCACTACCATAATCAAAAAACATTACTGTGAGATATGTAGACTCATCTCACTGCACAGGGTGTTACGTGCCTAGGTAAACTGATTCTTGCGCACCAAGATGAGAATATACACATTACCTTGTTTTATCTGCTTGCTATATTGTTATGGCATCTTCACAATCACTTCATTCGGAAGCTATGTATATGCTATAATGTAAACAAATAGTCCTCTAACAGAAGCTGTCCCAGATTTCATGGAATACCTGAGATTTACATTGTTTTTCCTCATTGTCTAGGCATCCTAAATTGGCACCTCATAGCCCTCTATTGTGATCCTCTTTGGCATGTGACAATGTGCCAAATGTTCATGACAATTTGGGTATTCACAAAGCCCCACTCTGTGTCTGTCTGGCCACTCATTTTATGCAAACACTGCTCTTTTTGAGCAAACAAAGCCATAGATAACAGGACCAGGGGAACAGAAGGGAGTGGGGGAAGAAGTGTATCCGTCAATCTAATATTTTCTTTATTGAGATACTCTCTCAAAATGGTTTGCTTTTATGGCAGACTCCACAATTATAAGTTTTCAGCATTTAAAGTTATTTTCGGAGAAAAAGCTCAAACTACATATGTGATGTTTCAGGTTCAGGCAGTGCCCTGTTTTTTAAACTGTTAGTTCTCTTTAATTGTTGTACGCAGTGTTGTTGTAGCCATGTCATTCCCAGGACATTAGAGGCAAGGTGGGTGAGGTAATATCTATTATTGGACCAACTTCTGTCCACTTAGCTGTGACACACTGAGTACCTTTCCCAGACCTGAGAAAAAGCTCTGTATAGCTCAAAAGCTTGTCTCTCACCAACAGAAGTTGGTTCAATAAAAGATATTACCTCAGTCGCCTTGTTGTCTCTCTCATTCTCTTTAATGCAGCAACAGTGCTTTTGAACTGATGATCTGCTAAGTGCACTGGGTTGCTTTGTTTAACTGTTCGCAACTTTCAAGGGGACACCCCTGAGGCTAAAATAAGAATATAATTTAGTTTCAGTAACACAGTGCAAGTTTTAAATATGCATATTGTTTACAAGCAAAAATATAATAGATAAATAGAAAAAACAAATAGCCTGAGCCGTCACAACAGGGTACAGACATATCATGAATTAGTGTTATGAATATTCAGTTCTTAACTGCCTGCCATAGGCTTCTTTAAACCAGCTTGTGTAAAGTGATTGCTGTATTAGTTCTGTGAATAAGTAAAATAATATCAAGTTGCAATTATTAAGCAACTTTTATTCCAGGGTCCAGAAGCACTTTATAGAAGGTAGTGAGTACTGTTAGCTCCAGACACTATGGTGATTGATGAACATGTAAAGATCTGAATAAATTAACAGATATTTATATATAGGAAACTGAGGCACAGTATTAAATAGCATAATAGTTACCATGGAAATGAGTGCAGTATAAAAATCTCAGATACCATGGGTACACAGATTGTGGTATATGAACTTCAGGCCTAATTCTGCAAAACACCTATGCATGTGAATAACTTTAGGCATATGAGTATCTCATTTTAAATCATTCAGACTGCTCATGTGTGTAAAGTTACTTACATGAGTAAGTGTTTGCAGCACTGGATTTGGAAATAGAGAGATACCACAGTCATTATGTGATATAATTTATAAATGCCTAGATGCTCAGATTAGGTTAGACCTGTTTTGCAAAAGTTTACTGGTGCACTCACCCAGGAAAAGTAATCTTTATTCGAAGAGTAAATGAAATATTCTTACTTTTACCATTATGATCATCATCATAAAGGTAGCGAGAGTGCTGCCGCCTCTCATGACTTTATCACAAGTCTGGAGATATTTGGCATTTTATGGCATCTTAAAGACCCAGCTCCTGGAGCCAGTTGAGGATGATGTGATAATTTTGCCTTTCATTTCAAAAAGGACATTTCCAGCCCATTAGGTTTCAGAGAAAAGCTTGAAAACAGGAACCCCCAAGTCTCATAAACCAGAAGGCAAATATAAAGAACCCCCTGGTTATTATTTTTAAATCTACTACTTTCTAAGTGAAGCTTGCGATTTCTTGGGGCCTGATTCCTGACATCTGAACGCCTTGTAGCGGGCAATAGGAGGGCTGATGGAGCCGCTGACAGGGGCTCGTGTCCGGGCTGGTACGTTTCCAGGACAGCTTTCCAATACGGACGTCTTGGGGCGCCTCCAGGGCTGCCAATCACCCTGCCTCTTTCCCAGCACCTGCCCGGCTTGAGAAGAGAATCCCACAGGCGGAGCAGCGCGGGGCTCACGGCTCTGCCCCAGGCCAGACACCTGGGCTCAGCGGCGCAGAGCCCCTGCCCCCCAGCCAGGGGCGCCGCCCTCACCTGCTAGCACCTTGCAGCTGCCCCAGCCGCAGGGCGGCTCCGGTCAGGTGGCTGGCTGCTGGCTGACGTGGCCGGGAGCCCGCCCTATATGAAGCCCAGGCGGCGCTCACGCTGCCGAGCCTGACGCCGGGGGGTGGTGACTGAGCCGGGGCTGCACGGGAGCAAGGCGGCAGCGGGCTGTTTCCGGAGGGCGGTGGCTGCGAGCATGGACCCCAGCAGCGAGCAAGGTACGGGGGAGCTTTCCCGGCCGGACGCCCCCTGTCCGCCCCGGCTCCGCCTGCCCTGTGGGGAGGGGGGCCGCTGGCGGGGCGGGGCTGCCCGCTCGCCGGCCCCCGGAGCAGCGGGACGGGGCAGAGAGGAGCAGCCACCTCCTTGGCGGCAGCGCCCCGGCCCCTGCGCCTCCCCAGCCCCAGAGCCCTCCTGCCTCCGGGCGGGGCGGGCGTGGCCGCAGCAGCCCCTCCCCTGGCGCCGCAGGGCACGGCCCGCGCTCGGGGGCTCTGCGCTGTGTCCGCCCCCCGTCCCTGGCCGCATCCGGGAGCGGGGCGGGGGTGAAGGGGCCGCTGGGCAGCGCTTGTTGTTTGCATAGTGATTAGCTGCGCGCGCCCTCAGGGAGCCGTGGCAGCTGCTGTAGCTCCGGCGGTGGCTGGGGGCGGAGGAGTGAGGAGAGTGCGTGGAGGTAGCCGGCCTTGCCTGGGGAGACTGAAAGCCCTGAACTACCCATAGTTTGGCTTCCTCTCAACCTGCCCTCCTGGAGCCTAGGCACCTCCAAGCCCTGCTCCTACTGTGCCCCTGTCCAAGGCTGTGTCTTCTCCCCCACTCCCTTACTCCTGTGTGCTAGGCTTGACACCAAGCACCCGACCTGCTGAGATGCTGAACCCTCACTACTCTGATTTGCTCTTGTGGGTGATCAGCACCTCTGAAAATCAGGCCTGAGGTGGACCTAGCTACTTGGTTTAACTGCCCAATGGTCTGTGTTAAAGATGTTGTGAATCTAGTTTCTACCTTCTATACGTATACAAGATAGAATGGAATTACTTTGACTTAGCCTCTGAGATGTTGGGTAATCTTCTAAAATAGCTTCTATGTTCATATTTAATAACTGTACTAAGCTCAGGTGATTGTCTTAAAACACAGGCTAAGCATTTATATCCTGTATTTCTAATGTGCTCAGCACTCTGTGTATTTTATGACAGTATAGTAAACGTGGATTGAAAACCAAACCCAGCAAAGCACAGTCATTATAGGAATCTGGATGCGGGATAGGGATTAAGTTAATTTTGCAAACCTGGTAGTGGAACAGTTCCAGTAAAATATTCTAATCTGCCAAATCTCCTCTGGTAGAAGGAAACATCCAATATTCCTGTAGCATTAAAGAGCTGCTTTCCTACAATAAAATGTAAGGCTTAAATCTACCAAAAACTATTAGCAGGAGAACTGAACCCACTAGTTACAGATATGGCTTTCTAGCGTAGGGTGGATACTGGTAAGGTATGGGGTAGTGTTCTAGTGAAAAACCCAAGCCCTGCTGCCAAATCCATCTGGTAAAACAAAAGGTTGGGTGCTGGGACTTCTACTAAGGTGTTGTCCCTTATTCCTTGAGCAGGAGTGCTAGGTAGTAGTTGTCAAATTCCTCACCAATAGGGAGGCACATGGCTGTGGGAGGGGAACAGATTGTGAGGATTTTGAGTAAATGGCGACTTGTTTTTTAAATTGGGCTTCCTAATACTACTAGTGCTCACAGCTTCGCCTAACAGCAGGGAATTTGTATGACTTCCATTGTGCTGCTGCCCGCAGGTTTATGAATTGCTACAGCAGAGGCACTGCAGCTGTTTGTAGACTTTGGAAGGCAAAAATTCATGGGCTTGGATTTCCTTTATACATATATGGCTGTCTTTCTAGCTCTTATGGAATCACCGCTCTCCTCCTGCCTTATAGTTAACTGAAGCTCCTCTCTCTAGATTAATCATGAGACTAAGGGAAAAAGTGAATTGAATCTTGTACCTTAAGGCTGGTGGTTATCATTGGGCCAATCTGTGATATGACCTGTTACTCTAAAATGCTTTAAGGATGATATTTTACACAGTAGCTTTACATAGCAACATGCTGCATTATGTACCACTGACTATTCCTGGGTGGAATAAATTAGACCTACTGTATTTCTATAAACCGCTTCTTGCACTGCTTGCGCCACTGGTGCTGCTCCTTACCTGGTCAAGCTTGATATTTGAATCCAAATGCCCTTATTTTGTATTCATGACACATGTTCAAAGTCACAATGGGTTAAATGTTAAATGGCTAGTCTTGGTGTAAACAATAGACTGGCATGCCTCCAACTTGAACTTTATCTAGCTTTGGACATAACTGAAGTGCGCTGCCTCTGATTAAAAGGGGTTAACTCACATGGCAATGCAGTTGGCCTGATTAGACTAAACAAGTGCATTAGTGTGTTAACCACTTTCTTTAGTACAAAGTGTACTGCGTTCGCTGATAATATAACTTTAAAAAGAGGTCTGTGAACTTCTCTGCATGTGCACAACAAAAGGAAAGAGTTGCCTGGTAAGACTTAGTGCATAGGTAAAATAATTAGTGAAAAGTACTGAAGTAAAACTTTCAGTTGTGCCTAAGTCCCATTGTAACTATTTGTGCTCCTAAGTCACTTTGGTAAAATTGAGTGCACATCAGTGCAGAAGGACATATGTGCTACCTTCAAATATTGTGAACTGAGGACATGGTCCATTATGCCTTGAAATTGAGGTCTCAACTTGGTGTTTTACTCTGCAATGTAACTGTAGACTTGTTTGTCAAATGTTAGTTTAACTTTATGTGGAATGTTATAAAAAAGCAGATGAAACTGATGCTTTGCCAGGGCACCTCCATTGAGCTCATGTGATCTACTAAGGAAAACGTGTAGCTTTTACACTTAACTAATCTGGTCAGATAAATTTATCTCCATAAGACTCAAAGTGCAATATTTAACAACTTGCATCCAAGTATATTCTGGTTTCAATATCTAACAAACAATTACTGTAGAGTAGACTTTATTCCAAAGCAGCTATTCACTGAAAGTAATAGCTCTGTATTGAAACAACATGGAATCTGGAACAAGACTTGTAGAGGGAAATACTTGCCCCTTCCAGAAACTACTGTCCACTTCAGAGTTCCTGAATTCCCACTTCTGATCTCCTTGTACAAAATGAGGATATGCCCCATCATAAAGTCAACTACTCTGAAATAACTGGGCTCCTGTGTAGTGAAGACAAACGTAGTTAATTTAAATCCCTTTAAAAATAAGGCTTGCAATAAACTAGTCTAATAAATATAGCTGTAAGCAAACTCTAGTACTGGAGACATGGGGTTCTTGTTCAGCATTTGATAGGCCTGTGCTCACCAATGACTTACCACTACAGCGGCCTGTCTTCTTGAGGGCACATCTAACTAGCAAACTGGATGTCTCTTTGGATTGTAAATTCGGCTGACAATATTAGTCTTGTCTCTCTCACCAACAGAAGTTGGTTCAATAAAAGGTATTACCTCACCCACCTTGTCTCTCTCTAATATTCTGGGATCGACGTGAGTACAACAATACTAGCCTAGTCAGTCAAGCAAACTGTTGCTTAAGAAAGCATAGCCTGTCAGTAAGCTGTATCTCAGACTCTTGGTGGCTTCTGTAAACTCAAAAGGAATATGGGGAGAGGATGAGAAGATAATCCAGAGGCAGTACAGATAACTCGTAACCAGCTCAGCAATAGCCAGAATGCTGAAAAGATCAACTTTATATTTGAAACTAGCAAAAGTTGGACTTTTTGCTTTCGGTCTCTTTCCTTCTGGGGAAGGTAAACCTCATTTAGAAGCTTCATATAAGATTATGGCTACAGTTTAGGAGATGTCTATGCCATGAGCAAGACAATTGAAATAAGCTTATTGGTCTAACAATGAGGTTTGTAAATGAATTGTGATGCAGACAGAGTGAGAATAGTGAAACTGCCATGTAACCAATGTTTCCACTTAATAGATGTCAATGCAGGGTAGCAACCTTGTAACAAGTTGACAGCTGCATTCTCACTCTGTGAAAGTGAAAGGAATTGTGGATGGCTTAATAGCTGTTCCTGAATTTTTGTACTCCAACGATATATGTTAAATATGAAACTAATTGTAAATAAGTTGGTTACTCAAAACAGTAAACTTTAAAAATACACTGGTAAATGCATCTCAAAACAAACAAATTAAAATAATACACTGAAATGAAGAACTTCATAAACTTAGCCATGAATACTATAAACTGGATTTCTTCACACTTGTGCAATAGAAAGACTTGTGTAATGCTGGCTAGAGACTAGTTCTTGTGCACTAGCAAAACACTTTGATTGGAAATACTGCAAGAGAGTCTTTAGTTTTAAACTGTTAGCACTAGAAGTTTTACTTTATAGAACAAAGCAATTTACTAAAACTAAGTGGGTGTCACAGTATTTATTTAAAATACTACTTAATGCTTATGCCTTGTTAGTGTTCACATCTGGGATAAATCTTTCACTACAAACTAATGCTGATAAATCATGGAGTCTTTTTAGCTTTGTAATGCTTGTATTCAGAAGTAGGGTCTTCCCAGGTAAATAGACACTAACTCTTTGAGAAACCTGCCTTCGTTACATACTGACAGTTTCCCACCCTTAAAGGCTGGTTACTTGGGGTTAGTCTACACTAGAATTGCTACAGAGAGCTCTCCTGTGGGCATAATAAAACCCCCTCGAGAGGCGTTAGCTATGTTGGTGGGAGAAGCTTTTCCACTGACATAGTGCTGTCCACATTGGTACTTAAGTTGGTGTAACTTACGTCACTTAGGAGGATGGCTTATTCATGCCCCTGAGTGACATAAGTGATTGTGTGTACAAACCCATATGTCACTGCATACTGTCAGTATTACCACACCCTTATCAAAAATCTAAGCTTACAGAGTTTATGCATCCGAAGAAGTGGGCTGTAGTCCACGAAAGCTTATGCTCTAATAAATTTGTTAGTCTCTAAGGTGCCACAAGTACTCCTGTTCTTCTTTTTGCGGATACAGACTAACACGGCTGCTACTCTGAAACAAGACTAATCTGTTTTGTAGAACTGTATTGCCCTCAGACTTCACAATTCGGT